ACCTCCAGGCCAGTAAGTGACAATACACTAGAGTACCATGTACTCATCATACCCTGGAGAAAATGACTTCCAAAAATACTATGCAATAAAACACATACAAATTCAACAAAGATACATACTTGGCTTACAATAGTAAGGGCAGTAAACTTGGGATGACCAGGGCCAATGACATAAAAGAAAATAAGAAAAAAACCTCAGGATTTATACTACTGGAAGCATCTCAAAGCAAGGCTGGTGCTGAGTCACATAGATTGTATGGAAGTAGTAGACAAGCTGTGTCAGTCTGGAAGTGTAGATACATACCAGAGATGACTGGAAAAACCCCCATGAAAAATGTCCTTCACTAAAGCTTCTGCTCTGAACTCCAGGACCTAAATCATTAAGTAGACTCAGAGACGAGTTGAGGTTTGCAGGGTTTCTGGAGACTGTTTAGCCCAGCACCCCTGCTCCAAGCAGGTCATGGTCATGGTCATTCCTCAGAGGAGTCCAAGATGTTCCAATCACTCTACTTCAATAAGATGAAGGAAGAACAGTATTAGTGGGCTTGCTTTTTCCCCAAACAACATAATGTTTACAGCATATATTTTATGATCACTTTAATCCAATTTCAATGATTTTCCAGGCACTGCTGAAGATCACAATCACTATTTTTTGTTCCAATGGAAGTTTTCTCAGTATTACACAACAGTTCTCTGGCTAACAGCATCAGTACTGTAAGAACACAATAATGCAAGGAAATAGATATGGTAGAGTTTATGAGTAACTAAAGATCACAACATTTGGGGTAGGAATTGTGGCTCGTGTTTCTGTGAAGAGCTTTCATTCTTGTACTCAAAACAACTATAGCATCTTCTGTAGGGTGAAAGTTTATGCGTTATTTTCAAAATACACAGAATTTGAGAGACCCCCAGATTTCAAAAGACACAGCAGTCGCTGTGTTGTCATTATCTTCTTGAAATAAACTCAAAGACCTGACAAAGATGCAAAATACAAGTATTTTGTTATGGTATATGACTGAAGACATGGAGAAACAGTATGGAAAATTTCATAAAAATGGAATCTTAGCATAGATGGGGGTTACATCAAACACAGGAAGACATTCATAAAGTCCATCTCTAGAGAAACGGTGGTGAGCAGTAACAGGCAGACAACCACATGAAGCAGTGTTTCAGTGAAGGAGAAACTGAGAACCAGGCTATAAGCTTGCTGAAAAAACACAGAGGGATGTAGTGTTTTCATGTACAAAGTCCTTGATCTGGTCCTCGAGAAAGAACTCACCATGCCCACAACCCAGGATGGCAACCAGCAGTTACAAAAATTACAATTATTGAAAAAGAAGAAAAGGGAAAAAAGTGGTACACAGGGACTACTGTAACAAAATGGTTTTGTTTAAAACGATTTCAGACACAGAGTAACTAGTCATCACCTGATTAGAATGCAACATATGTTCCATTAGACGGCTACCAAACATCTGTACACTCAGCTGCATCAGGGATAATAAGCTCCTGTTCACTATAGGCACTGTGTGTTCTTCTCATTTTACTTCTAGTAGCGATTAACCTCCCTTTTATAAAAAAAAATTGAGCTAACGTGGAAGACAAGCACTCATTTGCAACAGCAAAGATACAAGACCCTTTTACATTCACCCACTTCTTCAAATGTGTTTTCACTTCTGAAGCTTTTAAATACAGAAAAATAAATCAAACCTTCCTCCTAAATTATCAATTCCCAAACTTCTCAGGCAGAAACCCACACAACTCCCACAGGCACTTTGCGTGTGTGGGCTTCTCTTCCGCAGCTCCATCTCCTTGGAGTTTGCACTCCCACTACTGGTTGTGACCGCCAGTTGGGGGCCACTATCCTAAATCCTGTTCCTGTAGATAAAAATCTGACTTGGCACATGTGCTCTAAAAAGCAAAGGGTATTTTCTCTGACAAAGATTAAAAAACCCCACAAACACGTAGGAGTATGAAGAATACAGTGCTCTTGTACTAAGCATTTAAATGCACATACGCAATCAAAAGTAGCAGACAAAAACCCACCCCACTTAAAGCAAAGATCATCTAAATCAAACAATCACTGAAAGATTTTGCCCTCAAACCTCCAGAAACTACCATAATTTGTTTCTCAGAGGAAAATTGGGAAAAAATACAACTAGCAGCCAAGATTCTTGAGGCCTGCATGAGAGCAGTGCAGCAGCTGGAGAGCACATGGAGGTCACCTGCCTGAGGGGTGATGGCACAGAGGGAAAAATGAAGAAAGCTGTTTATTTTATTGTGAGGGGTGAGAGGTCACAGTTTGTGCAGAGTTAGGAATGCTATAATCCATGGTAGGGAGAACAGCCTGCCATATCCTAATGGGACTGTATTAGATGTTTTAGTAACAGATAGAATGTAAAATGGAATTTGCAGAATTACCTGCCTTCTGCCACCGTCTCTTAACCCCAAACAGCACAAGCAGCAGCATATGCCTGTTTCAGCCAATGCTCAGCTGACCTAATATTCTGACTGCAGTCAGAGGCACACAGACAACTCCTTGTACTTATTTGCTCTTGCAAAGGTGGCTCCCCCCCCCGGGATTTTTCTCTCAACCCAAGTTTATAACCAAGTTCCTGGGCTGTAACATAGGTGTACTACCAGCGTTATACGCTTGGGCCGCACCATCTTTGCTGCAATGTTCAAATGCCAGAGCAAGATGACATTTTTCAGTGCCAAAAGAAAGAATGAGGAGGTTTTGGCTCTACAGATAGTTAGAAAGGTTTTGGGTTTTCAAATAAAGGAGTTGAAGAAGTATGCAAGATTTAAGCAGCCTCTGTGTATATGGTACAGAAAACAATCTGAAGTGAACAACACTCAGGACACCGACTTCTGGGATAACATTTTCTGTGCCAAATCTAAAGAACAAGTTTTCTGTCTGCAGGTAGGCAGCTGTAACACCAGTAATCATTCACTTACAGATGACAGACAGAGCCTTTTGAACAATCACAGGCAAAACGGGGGAAAATATCCAGAAGACTTGAAGACCCTGCATTCAGGTGTGCCCTCACAGCGCTCTCTTGCTAACAATACTAAGATTCCCAGACTTTTTGACAGCTGTTGGTTTTTTTTTTTTGTGAAGTTCCATTTTATACATGGGAATTAAACCAAAAATCCATTAGCAACAACTGGCAGAAAAATACTGTTCTGAGACATAATCAGTCTCAATAGAACAATCCGATCCATGTCTGTTCCCGCATTTGAAAGACCAGATTTTCCTGGAGCAGATTACAGTAACCTTTGCTCACTCGTGTTGCCTATATTTGGATGTATGAAGTGTCTTAGTTCAGAACTTGTCAGGGCTTGTAGACCTGAAGATGAGCTCTTTGGACTTCGTCCCTGTGCTGGCTGGAAACTCAGATGAAGGCTTGAAAGCAAATGAAGGAGTGCAGTTAGGAGGTCAGACTTGCAGAATGGGACAGGCTGTCCAGCATCATATAGAGACACAGATCTCTTCTTTCACCTTCCCTCCTTGCATAAATGTGCAGTAAATTGTACTGGGAATTACAGCATATTCCTTGAACAAAAAAAAAAGAGTTCTGGATGTTTAATGGCTTACTACTGTTGCAACGTCTGTGCTTAGTTTGAAGCAAACTGCAGTTGTTCTTAGGCGCTCTTTTATTTATCCCTGTATTATTGTTCGAAAAAGGACATTCCAGCCTTGTATAACTACCTCCTAGAATCAATTAATATTAGTCCCTAGAAAGGAAGCACAGTATTATATATTGTACATTGGCCCAAGTGACTGGAATAGAAATACCTTTGAAGATTAGGGCCTCAGTGACATAATCTCACTGGCTTCAGGGGGCAGCAAAATGAGGCCTGTCCTCATTCACCTCAAGACAAAACTATTTCTGGTACAGGCTGTGTTTCTTTTAACAAACATTTTCCAAAATTATCTTTGCATCATCAGCAGCACAGAGATGAAACAACTGAGGAGGGGCAGAAAAGCCTAAATCCCTCAGTGATAGGCACATCAAACTCAAGAAACTGGAGCAGTTCTTGCATCTCTACAGATTCAGAAGGCTCCTACCACAAGAAATAAGAACCTAACTTGTTAAAGCAGTTTTTATTTAATTATTTGGAGGGAAACTTCCATATCACGAGTAAAAATACTAGAGTTGAATGTTGTTAAAAAAAAGTCAAGGTGATGGGCTCTCTGTGCAAACACAGCAGTTTCTGATAGAAAGGGGAAGCGAGGGGTTTCATAACATACTCCCTTTCAGGTGAAAAAATTAAATGCTAGTTAACTGCAGTACATGTCATCATTATTATACAGGCAAGAGAATGAAAAAGAAAAGGCAATTTAAGAGAACGCAACCTACAATGGAATAAATTCATTCGCAGCAGAGACAGAGTAAGACTGCTTTTATGAAAATTACAAAGAAACATAATACAACAAAAATAGGGTGTGGGGAATTTTCCACTAAGATTAAAAATGAAAAACAAAAAGAGTCACTTTTTGAACACCATTATTATTCAAACACATATGAAGTTTCAACCTAGTTTTTTTCTTATACATGGGAAACACTGTTAAAGTGAATCTTCAAGAGTGAGAAGGCACCATGAACTGTTGGCCGATACCTTTAATGCACACTCAAGAAAGAAGAAATGATCTGGCATGATGCAAAAAATCATTAAGTGTTTATATATATTCATATATCTTTTAATTAAAAAAAAAAAAGAAGCGGCAACAAGTCATTACTTCAGTGCCAAAATGTCCTTTTGTCTGGCTGACTCGTTAACATGATTTCTCACTGAGATCTGAGCGGCATTTTTATACAGTGGTGAAAAGGGGTGATTTTGCGTTGTTGCATTTCATATTATATTGGTAAATCAAGTGTTTTCTAGGATCTGAGAAGCCAATCCTACAAAGTATTCCTAAACACTATGCAAATGGAATAAACGCAGTGTCTAAAATGGAATACTCAGCTGTACTACGCGGCAATTCCACTGGATTCAGTTTGATATGTAATGTCTTGTAGCAGATGTTATAACAAAAATAACTTTTGCTTTTTGATTTACCTCACTGAGGCCATTAATGCTGTTCCTAAAGTTGGTTTTCTGGAGTTGGATGACATTTCACTGCTGTCCAAAATGAGTTTGAACCTTAACCCTCCAGAGTTTGTTCACTTTGTTGCTTATATTATTGCACTAGCTACTAAAGTCTTATATCTTCCTATATAAATCTAATTGTTCAGAGTGCAGATTCTATATTTAGATAATGAACTGTATGAAATAAATAAAGTAAGGGGTTTTCTGGTCAGAGTTGCTGATATGTTGAATACCTTAATTATTTCTAAAGTAAACAGTTTTGGTGTATATTCTTAAAAACCTATAGTCATTCAGCATAAAAGCCTTGACGTAATACTTTAAGAATGGATTTGTTTTCCTTCTCAAAAAACGCATCAAAGAATTGTTTTAAATACAGAATCTGTGAGGCTTCCTACAAATTCATCTAAATTGTAATACAAACACAGTTTGTAATTCAGATAATATAGAAAGTTCTCTAGTGTCCATTGAAGTAAGGTCCCCAAAATGCAGTCTGTTTTGTTTCTGAATGGGAAAACATTGCAAAACATTAAGCGGTTCCACTGGCTGAATAGGAGAACTGAGGAAAATGAGGTCTTCTCTCGTTATCTACACAATCCATGCTGTCATCTGCAAATGAAGAGAACAGGAGACAACATTGCTACCTTCTCTATTTTAAGGAAACAAACAGTAAGATAATGCATGGTAAAGTTATTTCAGAAAACATCACTATCTTTTTCTTCCACAACTTGAAAGGACAGAGAAACAGGAAGTCTTAAATCTCACCCCAGTGAATGGGGGCATCACAGAAGATCCTGACTGTGATACATAAACAGTTATTCGGATGTCCGTTTAAAATTGCTAGGAGCTGCATTACTTAAATCCATACTCAGTGATCTGAATTTCCAGCAATCGCTATTTCAGAGCATGAAACATGTGCAGTTGCCATGAAAATAAAGTGTTCTTTGACAGAATATGGACGTTAGTGAATACCCAGTCAACTGCTTGCATAGACACAGTTTGTGTGCAGATGTACACATGCAAAACTCGTGAACAGGATTATTTCCCAGTGGGAATGTGCAGATTTGGAAAAGACAGCAGTACAAATAATGTCACTGTCTTCTAAAACAGGTTTTTCATTTCCCAAACTGAAAAGAAAGTTTCACATCAATTTACCAACTCTTGATCAGATACACATATGGAAAACCAGCAAGTTTAAACTGATTCTTTTTCACACGGTCTGAAGAATAACATTAAGGTAACATTACAGCATATTATTTCTGGTGGTCTAGAGAATGCAGTGGGAAACATTTGGGAAAGCTTTACCTTGGTCAGGAGGAGTGATTGTTATCATCTGTGCTGTAAATTCTTCATCAAAGTATCTTGTATCTGTTTCAGATGTAACTTGTGGCTTAAATGGAGGTACAAGCTGTGAAAAGAATTAAAAACATACTGTCCATTCACAGGTTCTTGCAGTAGTTTGAAACAGGTAGAATTTGAAAAGAGAGTTATAAGCTACAGTGCCTTTTCCTACATTCCTGAAATAAGTTTAAAAAGCACCAGTGCATAAAGAAGGAACCATACACGGTAAAAAGAAAGGTGTGCACTTTTTGCTTATGGAGCATTTGAGACATCTTGTCTCTAGTATTTAGTTGCAAAAAGAAAAGCCTAGAACCCTAATGTTTCTTCACCTAGTAAATAACATCCTTACAAATGTTTAGTATTATCTACTGGTTCCTGACCTAATTACATAGAAATTAGCAAACGCATCTAGTCAGATTTATGCTCAAGAAGGATAAAAAGAGCAAGAAAGATGCTTAGTGATACCAAATTGATCAGCTGGACTTGCGTGTCACCACAGAAGTTGTAATGGTCACAAAAAGAATCTCAGCTACAGCATTACTGTGCCCATGCAGCTCTGACAGCAACTGTGCTGTAGGTCTGACCAACCCAGGGGAATTGAGGACAAGGCAGTACTGACATTAAGCTTTTATACTCCTGGTCCCCAAAAGCAGTTTGATACCTGCTCTGAACTTAGAAAAACTGTAGTGCTTACAAAAAAACAAGCACACTTAGCAATGAACATCCTCTTCCAATTACACCACGAGTCACACTGTTTGGTTTTTATTCTTGACACTCGCTTGGGCAGACAGGCTAGAAATCATCCATGTGTACCTAGGCAAGCTCTGGCAAGAGGAACTCCAGATGGAGTGGAGCTGCTTGACTGGGGCTGGAGGAGGAGCGCGCCTGGGAAGCGGGTGGTGAAGCTGGCTGCATACAAATGCACACAGTTGGAACACATACAATTTTGGAGGGCAACGGAGCTGGGATTCAGACCTCACTCACCTCCCTGCTGCATGGTGCACTAGAAACAGAATGTAAACACTGTTCTTCGCCCTCCCACAGAGGACATGTAAACAGCCCTCAGCACTGGGCTTCAGCTTGCCCACCACTGGGGTTAAGCATGGCCATCTTTTAATAGCGCAGAGCCACATCAAGCAACAATTTAGAAGCGTGACTGAGGAAGTATACAGCTTCCAATCTGGAACTGCAGGGAAAGGTTTATCAAGGCAAATGGTAAATTGCTCCAACTGGAAGTAAGCAGTGGCCAGAAGACTTACACTTCTGCTCCTACAGAAATAATGATCCTGACAGAAATCACTACCTGGAAAACACCAACAAATCTTGAATGTACGAAACATTTCTTCCCCACCCCAACCTTTCCTCCTGCTTAGATCTGAAGAATCATTTGCTTGGCAAGTTGGTAAATAAGAAAAGCACTAGCTTCAAGCTCCCTATTGCCAGAATCATCTTTCTGACTAGTTTTGAGAGCATCTAACAGAGTATTGTCCTGTCTTACACACAACAATGCAATGAAGCTCCTTCATTTTCCATGTACAAACTTTGACAAACGTAATCTACACATATTTCCAAATATGAAGCAACATCTGCTGTTTAAAATCAATCTTTAAAAATTAAGGTACATAAAAATTCTGTTTATTATAAGAAAACACAATTATAGTATATATTTGGGGTTTTTTTCCCCAATTACTAATGATCCCCTGTGCCCAAGAATGGCTTGAAGGAGCCTGACATGTGTTCCTGACAAACAGCCACAGGTCCTCAGAAGTTGTCTTAATGCCTTGATATTAAAATAAAAAAGGAAAGAGGATATCTCAAAATCACTAGTTACTCTAAGACTTACAGTCCTCCTGAAGCTATTGAAGATGGAATGCTTTACAATATAATGGTAATAGCACTATTCTCAATCAAGTCACACAAACATATGTATAAACCCTGTTGAGGATGAGCATTCCTTATTTCACATTTCAACTCTTCTCTCTTTCTCCTTACAGCTGTTTTCCACCTGCTCCTTGAAGCTAACCCTGGTTTGGTTTTGACTAGTTGTGTGTGCACGCATGTGTGAAGTTCTGTCTGTCCCTCTAAGCTAACAGTGGTTCTGGCACACGCAGTGCTCCCGCTTGCTCTGGCTTGATGTGCACAGCACAGAGTGATTTAGGACTTGGGCACTGCAGCACACACCTGAACTACGCACATCAGAACAACTAGGAGCAGCAAACCTAAGTCAGAACACGTGTAATGGGCTAACGCTGCCTGTTTCATCTTGCTTTTTATTTTAGTATCTGTTAAAAGCAATTTCAGACAGATTATGATGCACCCACAAGACAATTTTTTTTACCCCTAGCTGTCAAATTCAGAACATTAAGCCAGAAACAGAGGGGAAGCCGCAGAAAGCTCTAACGCTGTCTTTACCAAGCAAAGATGTTGCTTTACCGAAAAGCTGTCACTGCAATAGCTCTGCAGTTCAACTAGTGGAGAGGTGCCACCTGTAGCCTCCCACTGCTGCAGACCAGCATGATACCCGCAGGCTTATGTTGGTTTAAGAGACAAAAAAAGCCAGAAAAAGAGACATGTGATTAAAATCTCATTGTGTACATTTTGCTTGTGGGTGGGCAAAATACTGTAAATTAAACTGCACCCTTCTTTGTACCTTGTACCAGAGACAAATAACCCTCTTCCAGCAGAGTCTAATGAATATTTTAAATTCCTGGGACAACCCCAGTTATTCAAAATTCCTTATAATTCAAAGCAAAGTTATGTTTCCAAAAAGCTTAATTACAAAGTAAGCATTCTCCCCATTACCCCAAGTCTACATTCATAAATGTATTCATCATTATTCGGAGACAGTGGGTAACCGAGCTTAGCACACAAACACCTCTAGGCAGCTGACAAAATTCAGCCTTTATCCATGAGACTGCGTTCCAGGTAAATGCTGGAAGAACCTCTTTGGACCACCCAGAACATAGGCAGCAATTACTCTCTGGCTTTTTGGAATCTCTTCATTTGCACAGCATGCCTGTTTCATATGTCCATGCTAACGGGATAGGAGCAAACCCAGAATCTGGCCTCCTTGGATATGCAAAGGTCAGAAGTAGGCTCAGCACGCTGCCTGCTCCAAAATATGTAACATTTGGAGCTTCCTGGTAATTTCCACAACAATTTGAGTCAGTACTACTGCAGGACAATGTATGAAGGCTTTCTCAGTTCTTTGACTAAATAAATTGCTTCCAGCCTGTGTGATTTCTGCTCCATTCAGGCAATCAGCACTACCATCAAAGAGTAAATAACTTCACTTAAAGACATTTGAGCCATTATCAACTTTTTATCTTAAACTGAAAAAAAATAGCAAATGTCCAAATATTCAGCTTGTCAGCTGGGTGAAAATGGGGATACCTTCCTGTTTAGAACAGTAATTCAGATTTACTTTTTAAGTTACACTGAATAAGGTCCTTGCAAGTCCCTCCTGCCCTCATGACTGCAAGGGGTGCTTTGAAAGGACAGAGGTCTAAATTCCATCTACACTTTCAAGGCACAAAAACTTATTTTATGATTTTTCAGTTCCTTTTAATCACACAAATCTGTGAGGAAGTGAAAGAAGAGAAGTAAACAGAGCACTCTTCGTAATTGTATACAAGCGCTGGACAGTTCTCCCACTACCATACAGGAACCAGCGGTGTTACATTCTGTTTTCTTAAGAATACAAACATTGCTAATAGATCACTGTATTAGTAATCCAAAGAATTAAAACTCTGGTTTTGCTAAGTTTCTTACCTGCTTCCACCAACTGGAGGGAGAACTAAACTGTATTTAGATAACAAATGAGATCTTGTATCACAAGGGGCTGCAGGGGGAAGGAATGAAATCAGGAAAGGCTGGGATTGAGTGAGATCGTGTGGCACCAGTAGATGGGAGCCTTGAATCGCCAGACCCACGTTTTAGTTAGCTGCATTTCACATAAACGTTATGGAAAATGTGGCTCGTGAGAATCAAATGGGAGAGGACAACAGCTGGAATGAGTCCAGAGGAGGGCCATGAAGATGATCAGACGGCTGGAGCACCTCTCCTATGGGGACAGGCTGAGAGAGTTGGGGTTGTTCAGCCTGGAGAAGAGAAGGCTCTGGGGAGATTTTGTAACGGCCTTTCCATACCTAAGGGGGCCAACAAGAAAGCTGGAGAGGGACTTCTTACGAAGGCATGTAGGGATAGGGCAAGGGGGAACAGCTTTAAACTGAAATAGGGTAGATTTAGATCACATATTGGGAAGAGGTTCTTTATTGTGAGGGTGCTGAGATACTGGAACAAGGTGCCCAGAGAAGCTGTGGCTGCCCCATCCCTGGAAGTGTTCAAAGCCAGGTTGGACAGGGCTTTGAGCAACCTGGTCTAGTGGAAGATGTCGCTGCCCATGGCATAGAGGTTGGAAAAAAAGTTACCCCTGAATTTATGTAAAAGCCCATGCTGCTCTGCACTTGCCTATTCAGTCTAATTTCATCACTGAAGACAGGAAAAATGCAAAGGGGAACAAAGAGCCCGTCTCTCACTCCTGCTTCTAAGAAGTTTTCCTTCAGATTCTCAGGAATAATTAACTCCTGGGCTCACAAGGGATACATCAGTTGATGGCAAGGAATGACATCAGAAATTCACAGGAAAAGCAATTTTAAAAGCTTATATACTGTCTAAGTTTGGAAGCGATTTTGATTGGAAGCAATTCTTCAGTCACAGAAACAAGGATCTCATTGAGATATGCCTCTCATTGTGGAAAAAAAAAATCTTTGGTTCAGAAGCAATCTGACTACAGTATTTTAAGAAACATGAAACAGTTAGCCTTGCTAAAAACAACTTCAAACCTCTTCTGTGGAGGGCTTCTGTGTATCTTAGAGAGGGCAACAAGATTAGAAACATTCAGTATATCCACAGCTACAATTCACTTTGGGTGAGCAGGTGTAAAAGTACCTTTTTCTCGTACACATCTTGCCAAACAATGCCAGCAAAGAATTTGTGCTGCATAATCTCCTTGGCATCATCAGGACCGCCACCTAACCTGTTTGGGGCAAAATAAGTAATTAGATGTTTGAGTACAGTTATTTTTCCTCATACAATTTTTATTAAACAGTAGCAAAGAAATTCTGAGTTTATATAATAGATTTGGAAGCCTTTGCTTCATATTTGTTTTGTGTGCAAGGGCTGCAGGAGAGTCTATTTTAGGCTTCAACACAGTTCCACTAAAAGACCTGAAAACATGCTAACACACAGAATAAAGGTCTCCCTTAAACAAACAAGGGGGAAAAAAAGACCCAAACCCAATACAAAACCCCACAATTCCAAAGACCTGCCCTTCATGAAAGATGCTGTCCTAGGAAGCACGGCAGATCCTGCAAATAAAAGGTCTGAGCCACACACCCTTCCCTCTTTCTAAATTAACAAGTGACAACCTCTCACAATTTTCTAGAGCAGAGCGATGCCAGCAATAAAACTGAATTTGATTTTGAAGTGTAAGAGAGGCAAGGATTTCTAAGACAAACTGATTTATGCAACCTGATTTAAATTTCCATTATACAGTTGACAACTGCAGTGATAATATCATGTTGTATGCAAATCTTTTCTCCTCCCTGGCTTCACAAAAGCACAAAGGGTGTTCTATTGACTTAAGGTATATCAAGATAAAGCACTTTCATTCCAAAATAAAACTGTCCACACAGCTTACAGATGCAATCAGTTTAGAGTTGCAGTCTTGAGCTAACAGATACTTCTTCTGTGGAGGTTAAAATGTTCTCTAGAAGATTGAACCACATCTGCAAGCAAAGGCATGCACTGAGAAAACAACACACATACTGAATAATCAGCAGGAGACTTACTTCAGGTAACAAGGTTAAGCAGATGCTCAGGATTTTAAGTACAAGAGGAGCCACCATGTTCATCCAAGCACCTAGTTCATCCAGGCTCTAGTATCTGCCTGTTCCCCGCTTCTTGTGCCACTGGCAAACTGAGATATTATCCATATTTTAAGAACTTGGAACAATAGCTCTGTGTGACCAAAGCTAGAGCTGTAGTGCTACAGAAAAAATGGCCAAGGACAGTTCTTTGAAACTGAAGCCAAGCTGCCTGGTCAGACCTCATCCGTGCTGCACAACAGCTGGCCCTGAATCTCCTCCAGGCCACATGTGGTAACCCTGCTGCCCTAATACTTGATTACTGGAGAATAGAAGGGAGGGGTTTGATTCAAAATATCAAAGATAATGTGATGGCTGTGCTAAAGCCCATTGAAGTGGTATTTTTACAGCCTGGGACTGCACTGCATGCTTTGAGATGCAGCTTGAAGGTACAATCCTGCTGAGACAACGTTGGACAATCGTTAGTGCAGAGGATTCAAATTTGGTGACGCTTTGTCCAAACTGCTGTCTGGGAATGGAATCCTGGTGCATGCAACCCTGTCAGCCATCCCGAGCACCATCTTCACAGAACACAAGCTGACAGAGGCCACAGCTATACCAGAGACCAAGCAGCAGAGTTGCCTGGCAGTTCAGAGCCCATGTTTGCACAGCAACTTAAGGGGTCTGCTCCTTCACATTCCTTCATTAAATGTGCAGTGGTACAGGGAACAGGTCCCCAGTCTTACAGTAGCAAAGTGCTGGGTGACACTTTCCTTCCCCAGGTAAGCTCTAAGACCAAGCCTAAGTTGACCCTACAGCCCCACAGGCCAAGCCAAACTAGACGACGGCTCTCCCATTTGCCTGGCAGCACATTGTACAGCTGCACAGCAGCCTGGAACAGGAACAAACTCCAGGGTAGCCTGGGAACAGAGACAAACTCTATGAGTAATCATCTCTCAGCTGGTTCCCTACAGGTCTACAGGCTTTGCCAAATCTCTGCCAGGCTCCTTGTTGCTTCCCCAGCACACACGGTGATGGCCAGTGAAGAAGAGGAAGGAGTCGACCCTCTTTATCCACAGATATCAACAGACTGCACTTTGGCACAGAAGTTCAGGAGTGACTACATGCTAAGAACCACCTGAATCGTGTTTTGCAGAAGTATGCACGAAAGCTGGCTGGCCGCAGCCATGTATGAGTGTTTTGGAGAATATTTTAGCTAATACGAGCCTTTGTTCCATAAAGGGCAAACATGTACTCAGGGAACTGCCAAGAAACACTCCAGATGTTTTATTTACCTTTTAAAAATCTATACTATTAAACAAATCCATTCAAAGTTAGTGCGGAAATGATAGAAACCTTGTATTTTGGATATGGACTTACTCCAACATACACGCTTTCCTTTCAGAATTATGAAAGGATCCTCTCAAAGAGAACAAAATTAAATCAGCACCTAATGCAAAAATCACAGTTAAGCACCACTGAAAGCTGAAAGAGCAGCAGGTTTGCCTTCCTAAGGACATGCTGAAGAAAAATGCAG